AAATACCCACAAATTCACTTGTGAAAGGTAATTTGAGCCAAATTTATCCTATACCCATTCCCTCTCAAAAAAGAGATTTGTATTTACCAATATGAGGGTAAAAATTTATTGACCAATTTGCTTTCCAAATTTGAACAAAATTTGCACAATAGCAAATTTGATGCGATTACGGCAATGGCACCTTTGCAGGGGGTTGCAAAGTTGGAGCAAATCTAATTTTTCGTCCTGTGCCATCTCAATCACTTTTTTACAGAATACATCATAAGACTTCTCGTACACTGATGCTCTCGTTGCTTCTTCGTCTCTCTGGTGAGAAATATTGTATATAAATTGCAGTAGCAAACTTTGTGATAGCGGATTTCCAGAGCTACACAGTCTTTCCCCTGGATTTGCATGAGTATCTGTTGATCATTCTTTCTCTCGGCAGCTGTACGTAGAAGACCAGCATCAATTGTTTCTGCCAACATGAGTGGGGTTCTTCTTCTCTACTTAGCTGCCTGGTGTGAAACAAAATAATAACAAGGTTGGATGTTTGTAGCATAGAAACTACTTTACCTTAAGTAAACTTAATTGATCACAATTCAATATATTTTAAAACCAAACCTGATGATGATAATGATGATGATAAACCTTACCTGATGATGGTTCCATTCTAAGTTAATGGTATCAGGATTCTTCTCCATTTATGAATTGACAGATCCGTCATCGATGTTCTCGTACGATTTCTTAGCTATTTCAGCTTGTTGACATTTAAGTTTGGCCCATTTTGACCTGCACTCAAGAAATTTCTTAAGCCTTTGGCGTGTAACTTTGCAAAGTTGCTCCGTAACGGCATCAAAATGCATAAAACATGAGGATATTCGAGTTTTATAAATATCTTCAGCCATGTTTATTTGCATAACTGAGCGTGTTTCCACTTCGAAGCATGTGCGTTCGTTGTGCGCGTGCGCAGTGCGAGTTTGGGTGAGTTGCGCATGCGTATTTGCTATCAAAACAATGGCGGTTCGAATATTTCGAAGCGCGAAAATATCAAACTTTGGAGGGATTTTTCTCCCAATTGTGCACCTGTTTCGCTTGGGGAGCAACGGATTTTGATAAAGTAAGTTTTTATCTATTTATTCATGTGAAAATTACGTAGTTACACGAGGGGTGCAACGGAATCCGTTTTCTAAGCATCTTTTGGATGCTCATCCTACGGCCTAGTTTGCCCGGTGTGGATATACACTCAGAGTAACATCATATCACAAGCATCATATTATGAAAAGTTGTTAAATATCTCAAGAACAAAGCAACTTGTTTGGGAAAGTGTCTTATTTGGTCATTTCGAATTTCTTTACAATAAATGCAATCGTAAAAAAATGGTGCGAATTTTCGTTGCATAAACAATCAGTGCAAAATGGGGTTATTACAGAGGGGTTTATTTATTATTAATTCATATGTCCAGCATGCTTGCCTGTAACTCTCTTATGTGTGCATGAAAGAAACCATGAGATCATATTTAGCGAAAATGCTCTGAATGAAATGTAAACCTAAGCCTTTATTTTTTAATCATCGAGATGGTGTTTCTACATACTGGTGTTTTTGTGAACTTGAAAATGGTCGTATTGTTTAAAATTACGGCTGTGGCCTGAATTAACTGGCAATGGCAAAATTATAACATTAACAGTAAAATTGGACAAATGAAACCATGACTCTCCGATCGAGTTCTAGACTATGTATAGGTTATTTTGAGGCAACGAGGGGATATGTGATTTATTCACCGAGGCGCGCAGCGCACCGAGGTGAATAAACACATATCCCCGAGGTGCCTCAAAACAACGTACTTATTTTTCACATTGCGAGGTCGCGTTAATGATTCAGAATAGAAATAATTCGTAATGCCATATTGCCTTCGCTATGTTGTTTTTTTCTCATTTTTTGTGCTGCAAACACATTGCAGGTGAATATTAGAGGGGATTATTAATTACAGGTGAATATTAGAGGGGATTATTAAACGAAAATTGATAGAGGGCAATATTGAATATATTCCCCGATAAGAACAAAGGAAACCGAGCAGGGTGAAAAATAAGATTTGTAAGTGTCCAGTGGCGCCGCCAAGGGTGGGCGAGGGTGGGGGGGGGGGCAGAAAATGTTTGGCAATGTGTAGTTTTAGGCTACGTTTACACTTGTAACGGATAGCTTTCCGGAGCGACATGAAAAACACCTATCCGTACCTTTTTAGCTTTCAGGAACGCTATTTTCAGACAGCTATTTGCAAAGGAGAGATGTTGTTTCGCTCAGCTTCTGAAAGTTGCACATTCCGTATCGGATAGGCGCTTTTTCGCGCCGCTACGGAAAAGCTATCCGGTATAGTGTAAACGTAGCCTTATATTCGTTCAAATCCGATGAAAAATTGGGAAGAGGGTGGTAAATAGTCAGCAGACAGTGTTAGGCATCTTGCGCGCATCTACTTATAGTATCTACTGAACTTTGTTGTAATATAATGCTCTATGTCTCCAACTGAATTAAAGTGTCAAGTATAAAGGTGATTTAAGACCTTTGCATTTTTCTCCAAGTGCCTCTACAATGCAGGAAATGCAGTTTCAGAGACCTGAAATTAAATTTTTCCCTGGAAGGGCGCATATCCGCACCTCCTATAATTTTAACTCACAATCCTGACCACTGTAAGGGCACTACTTTACGCAGGCACTCGATCATGTATGATGGGTAAATGAATGTACGAATTTCTGCAAACGTGACCCTGTCAGGTCTTATGGCAAATTTAGGTTTTAATGATGAAATCATATTATTATTAAATAAACAGTTATTGAACTCTATTATAACTGGAACGATAACTGCAGATAAACTGCCCAATGATTGGGTAAAGTCAAGATGGCGGCCTATAGAGTAATCTCTTGCAGGGGTATATAACACGCGTGTTTTTCCCGTGGGCTTCGCGGGAGCTGAAAAATAACTAAAGTTTTCCGATCGATGTTTTTTTGAATACTTGCACGAAAATGCTCATTTTTACTAATCAAAAAGGTAAGGTATTATTCTGTTTTCTTTTCAAATCCCACATAGATGCCCAAAAAACAAAAATTTTCTGATGTTTTTCATCTTGGTTTTTTCCGAACTTGTTTTTCACTCATGAGATAACTGGAAAATTAAATGGGATCACGAGATTAGTAATGAACAGGTTTTATTAAGCAGGCAAGCTAGTTAGAAGCTCTTTACGCCTGCTAGGTCACGTTTCCAGAATGGATGACAATATACCAGTAAAAGCATTAATGTATGATGAGCGGACTAATAGAACTCGTCCTATTGCGGCCTAAACTACGCTTCAAAAATACAGTCAAACCCTTATTAACGGACACCCCTCTTAAGGTGGCTCAATACTTGATAAACAAAAAGTAACCTTACTTATATAAAATAACATCTAAAGAGTTTGAATTTTTGCACAAAAGTTACGCGACTGCCGTTGCTATGGCCGACAATGACGTTTCAAGATGGCGGATATTTTGGCTTTAAAGTAATTTAACTCGTAAACGACATCGGAAAAAAAAATATTATGTCTTTATGAATAATAATATTTAATATTTCTATTGCGCGATTCTACATATGTATATGATCAAGTGCGCATTATAATTACAGCCGGAACTGGCGTGAAGCAGACCGAGGTAGACTGTGAGCTTACAAATGGCGCTTTAAGCAGCCGCTATTAGTCCGCACCTCATTAATGATCTGCCCCCTAATCACCTTTACGTTATTTAAAAAATTTCGGCTCCACAGAATTTTTTTAAATTGTCAAAATAGTTGATTATACTAAGAGAAATAATTTTTTCAAATAAAATTTGTGGGTCACCAATGTCGTTTACGAGTTAAATAAACCAGTGCCGGATTAACCATATGGCAGAAGCGGCATATGCCACGGGCCCCGCGCTTTTGGCGGCCCCGCGTTTCAACGCGGGTTGTTCCCTGTTTCAACGCGGGGCCCAAACAGTGCGGGGCCACAAAGAGCCCAAGTCCCCCAGAAAACTCGAGGCCCCCAAGAATCGGCAAACGTTTTCTTTTTGTTCCCTGTTTTAGTGTTTCAGCGCGGGGCCCCAAATTAAGAGCCCAAGGTCCCCAGAAAAAGTTATAGGCCCCAAAATTTAAGAATAGAGGCCCCAAAGTGCGGGGCCCCAAATGATTTTTTGTTCCTTGTTTTAGCGCGTGATCCAAACAGTGCGGGACCCTAAAGAGTCCAAAGCCCCCAAAAGCGAAACCCCAAACGAAAAAAACCACGAGGCCCCAAAGTTAAAAAGGTGACGCTCCAAAAGCGGGCCCGCAAACACAAAATTGTTTGTTCTTTCTTTGGGCAAGGGGCTCCAAAAAGCGATCGCGAGGCCTGCAGAAAATCATAGGGTTCAGAAAATTTCAAAATTTGCAGCAAACTGTTAAATACTAAAAGATCGCTGAATTTCGTGGAAGACGGCAGAAGTTTATATGGACGCTATCATGTTTAGCTATTTTTCCCCTGTAAATAATAATAATGTTAATGGAATAAACTGGGTTGAATTTCAGTTCGATCAAATTATTGATGTATAATTCTTTCTTTTTTTGTAAATACACAGGAAACTTTTCAACGCATGAAATACAAAAGGATATTTTAAAATTTACTGAATTCAGGGTCTAAAATGCCGTTGGGCGGTGGTGGTGGTGGGGGGGTCAAGGGGCCTTGCTCCAATAATATGCCACGGGCTCCGCGGAACGTTAATCCGGCCCTGAAATAAACTACTTTAAAGTCAAAATATCTGCCATCTTGAAACGTCATTGTTGCCATAGCAACGGCAGTTGTAACTTTTGCGCGAAAATTCAAACTCTTTAGATGTTGTTTTATATAAGTAAGGTATATACAATTACTTTATGGTTTCCGTGTTTGGATGGCCTGATCCAAACACGCGGGAATGTTGCGAGAGTTAAGAAAAGCGCGCGAAACACGAGCCGAAGGCGAGTGATTTTGCGCGCTTTTCTTAACTCGAACAACATTCCCAACTTTCCGTGTTAAAATTTCACTTTAAAAAACTTTCATTTTAAATTTCCGTGTTCGGATGGCCTGATCCAAACACGGGTTTCGACCAATCAGAGCATGCGTTATATACATGTTATTTTATAATATTTGTTTATCAACAAGTAAAAATTGTCCAAAAATACGCATGTAAATCGTGAATTTTCCATTTTTTTAAAAACTGTATTGAGCCTGGTTTCTTTTGTAAAACATTGTCATTACCTACTGTATATTCAGCGGACACCTCTATTTAAGCGAAAACGGACACTTATCTCGAAGTCCCAATGAGCCGAATGACCTCTCTTAAATTAAATTAAGCAGACAAACGCAACTGATGAATGTGTAAATATCTTTAATTAAATTTTCATACAATCAACATTAAAATTCAATTTTAAGGAAATTCATTAGATATGATATCTATTTATTATTAATGTTTTGCAGTATTAATTCTATGTAGCTGATAACTTGAACTAATCTACTCATAAAGCAAACTTTCCTGTTTCAAATATGTCAAATAATTCAACCAATTCCAGTTTCAAATAATTCAACCAATTGCAAGAAAACCAGTTTCCTAGAAACCTAAACTCGCAGAGGGAAGTTCCATACCGTAACCAGCCCCTCTTTTGACAAGTTTACCTAATTTGATCAATACTGTTCCTAAATTAGTTAGGCATTACTTCCTGCCGTGTTCGCTGCTGCAAACCCCTATTAAGTGGACACCTCTTTTAAGCGAACACATTGGTGAGCTCCTGAAGTGGTCCGCTTAATAGGGGTTCCACTGTACATGCAAAGGTTCCTTAAAAACTAGTAGTGTTGGAAAAAACAAAGAAGAGTAGAATTGAGACAAATAATTCGCGACGCATGTGAAAAGATCAACGAAAATAAAATAAATGAATAGCAGAGATTGCGCCATCAAAACTTGCCCATGCAGGCTGGCTATATTGTGTACCATAATAACAATAAGTCTAAACCCGAAACGAGTAATACACAAATAATAGAGATGTAGCGAAAAGACAGAGCTTTTGTTGCGTCCTTTCTTCTTTTTTTCTCTCTCTTCTCTCTCGACAGAGGAAGCGCCTTTCACCTCTGAGATCGTGGGTTCGATTTTCGCTACGAACTCATGCACGACAACAGGGGGGATTTCGTTCTCGACGAATCAGCGCATTTGTTGACAATTTCGCTCTAAGCCAATCAGAATGCGTAATTGGTTATTGTAGGTAGTTTCCCTACGAGAACAGAAAGCCCACTTCCGGTAAAAACATACATTTGAACAGAAAATATAAGGTCTTGAATAAAACTAGGCAATAAAACGCAAGTCCCAGCAGCAAATTTTTAGAAACTTTCTTATTTTACCTTGTCACGTTAAATCCAATCAAAAAATTTTAAAATCCTGATCCCCTCGAAGCTTTATTTAAGACTCTATATTTTCTGTTCAAATGTGTGTTTTTACCGGAAGTAGTAACCAATTACGCATTCTGATTGGCTTAGAGCGAAAGTGTCAACAAATGCATTGATTGGTCCAGAACGAAATTCCTCCTTGTTATGCATGCATGACATTTATGTGAAAAGAGTCAGTCAACGCCAGTGGCGTAGCCTGCGAACAGGCTCTCAAGGTGCACGAAATGAGAGCCTGCGTCGATGACTAATGAATTTGAATATCTGCGTCTCAAATCGTGACGCGAAATTCTCATTGGTCAGATGCTATAATTTATATGTTTCCGCTGAGCTCTATATGTGTCAACTGCTGAAGCATTATGCATAAAAAACACATTAACTGATCAAATTAGTCTTGGCCATCTTATCCCAAAGCACGAAATGTTCTGTTTTGAGAAAACAGTATTTAAAACATTTAAACTTTTGCTTGAATATCTTATATTTCGAAAAACTGTATAAACTGTACGGTCTAAATTTAGTTTCCACAGTCTAAATTTAGTTTGCACGAAAGTTGTAAACAAAACCATATAAAGATAGACATTCCATATTTGGAAAACGAAGGTTATGGGGCAGATATTCAAAATTGTATATCATCAGTGCAGGCTCTCATTTCACCTTGAGAGCCTGTTCGCAGGCTACCAGTGGCGTAGCAAACCCGATAATTAGAGGGGGCAATATTCATCTATTCGTGTTCACAAACCTTAAAAACAATTGATTTCAAAAGAAATTAATGATGCAGAACACGAATATATGAATATTGCCCCCCCCCCCCCCCCCC